ATTTTGTCCCGTTAATCTAGTTTTAAATGCATGCCTTAATCTCGAATTGATAATTCTGAAAACCTAACTTGGATAAGCATTAATTCTATAACTAGCAAAGCTTTAAAATCTTATATTAAAATCCCCAAGCAGTTCTTGTTTCCATCGCATGTTGTTTCACATCACAATTAATGGGAATCTCTCCATGGAGGGCCGGCGGCATGCATAGAGGGAGAGAGGGGAATTCAAGGGAGAAGGGTTTCCAATTTAGGATGATGACGGGGCAAATGGTCTCATAACTCCAAGTTAAATCAAATTGAAAGTGAATTTCATGACGAAAGCTTTCCTAAATTGGAGTTCCAAATTAGGAAAGAATTCGAAATTTGAAATTTTCAAATTTCAAGTTTGAAATTTGTACAGGAAGGGGTTGGGTGGATGAGGGGAGGTTGCCGGCTAGGAGTGGGGTTATGGTGGTGGTCGGCGGTGGGCTCCCAAGGGGCGGCGACAATAAGGATTTAGAAGGGATTTCTTGTGGTGGAGGGAAAGAGGATGAAGGAAAACGCGAACAAGAAGATAGAAAAGTTTAACCACGAGCCGCGGACTCTTCCAACGACTGGTGGGCCTTGCGATTTGCTCTCCTTGAGCTCTCTCCCTTCTCAAGCCCTCATGCAAGATGAAGTAGAAACCAAAAGCAATTTTTCATTCAAACATTCATTAACCCTTCTCCAAGAAGAGGAGGGATTTAGATAGACAAATACAAGAAGGGAAAATAAAAGACAACAATGCCCTCGGGGCTTACAAAGAACTAATCCCTTAAGCAAGGGCATAAATGAAAAAAAAGACATTTAATAAATAAACACATCACATATAATTGAAATAAAAAGGCGTTATCATAGCCGTCGATCATCGGCCACGTCCCTGATGGAACATTAAGGGTCTGATGTCCGCATCACATAGTCTGTTAATTAAGCATATACACTATATAATGAAGCTGTATAAACTAAGAGTAACAGAAACTTTCGTTAATAACACCAGTGAATGAAGCTATATAAGCTCCTGTTGTTTACTGTCTGCAGTTCTGCTTATGAAGTTTAGTGCCATATTGTTTTGTTTTTTTGTTTGTGTACTGAGTAGTTGATCTAAATTTTGTGTTGTCTTAAAATTTGCATGGTCAGTAGTTCCATGATGCCTTTTATTTTTTCAATTTGTTGTTAGAGTTGATCGTTCTATGAAAATACATCAGTCGACTTTTACTTTCATATTATGTGTACATATGAAATGACACTTTTTTGTTAGATTTGATGAGAATTTGACTCTTAATAGGACACAACAGAGAAAAATGATTTATGTTGCCAACTCCATGTAGTGGGATAAATGCTTGATGTTGTTATTGTTGTTGAATTGTGTGTATTTCTTGTTTCATTGAGGTTGTCAAGCGGAACGATCTTATTTCTGTTGATTCTTCCATGTAATATAACCTAACAGCTCAATTCACGGTGAACACTTGGCTGTTTTTGTGAAATCTTTTATAATTTGGAAGCTTGGCCAACGGTTGATTGTTTTTTACTCTTTTCTTAAACATTGCAGGAGATTCTGAAAAAATTCAGCACCATCGGGTGGCAGAATTGCAACGATTGCGATCCATGTAGAGATTCTATCTTGTGTTTTTCACTAATCATTTGTTTTTTTTTGTGGCTGAAGCAAATAAATTTAGAAAGTTGTAATTTTTGGTTATAAGTGGCAAAAATTGTTGCATCCTAGAAAACTACAAGTGTAAGTTTTAGATAATATATAAATCATTCAACCACAAAATTCTTTTATCCAAGCAGCAGTGGCAGGAGTTCAAATGTTTTTTGAGTTCTTTGTATAAATGTTTCAAACTTTATATTGTAATCGTTATACATGATTATAAAAATATTAGTTCTTTTGAGCTGAAACTAGAAGCGATTGTTGTCACACCTTAGGTCTAAAAGGTAGTTCTACTTTGCTATGTCAGGTATGATTAGGGTGTCTCTTTGATGTGATACGTTCAAGAATTGCACATGAAATTCATTAAGAATCGCAAAGTTTACCAATGTAAGATTAAGCTTTCGTAAGTTAAGATTCAAGAAATTTCCGTTAACGAAATGTTATGATAAGCGGTTACAAGCTAGTGTTTAGACACAATTAAAGAAGGATCTCAAAGTTACACAATAAAGCAAATGCGAAAAATAATAGAATTCCCACGGTTAATGTCTAGAAAGTCTCTGAATCGTGGCCGTCGATCTGCGCTGTCTCCGACGATACACATGCTTGAATCTCTGATCGATGTCCCCATCACTCTTACTCAATATAGCTTAAGAGCCAAAGTGGAGAGACGATGTTTTGCATTATGTATCTATAAATAAACTTAGAAGTTGTTATGTATTGGTAATAAATTTACCATTAAAGTAAATCTAATGCATTTTAGAAACTTAACCGTAACTTTTCTCTTTATTAAATCAAAGCAAGGTTAGAATCATTAGATTAGTAAGATTAGAAAAAAGCATATTTGCAACTGCCAAGTGAAATATAAAACCTATATTATTTCCCTAATTGAAGAACTGTTAGATGGGTATAGACCACATGATAAATTATGAGTTGGTCATAAATCCACTTAACTTGGAGGATGTCTCTCACGTGCTCGGCGCCTTAGCCTCTAGTAACTACGCTCAAATCACCCACCATCGCACGCCAACTTAATGCATGCTCATGTGTTGCCTGAACTACTTTGTCCTATTCATGTATACGCACCATGCTGCTACGGGCCATGTGCCTTCGCTGCACACTTTTTGACTCTGCTTTCTCTCGTTCTTGCGTGCTTTCCTGCATGATCTCGGTATCTTGTGTGGGCCGTAGCCTAATGGCTCTTGGTGAGCCACCTTATGCTGTGCCCTTGAGCTCCTTTCTCATCGACAGTTGCTCTCCACTCTATTTGGTTTTCTTCCCCCACTCTAGTTCTTTGCCACTTGATTCTTTTCTTTTGGACTATACTTGCTGGCTTCCCTCTCCTTGTTCTTAATTCCATTGTGACAACCTTTCTCCTTGGGTCATGGTGGTTCCTCTAGTTCAACCACCGTAAAAGCTCCTTTGTCTCAAAAGCTCCTTCGATTGCTCACATTTTATTATATCTCGCGCCTCTTGTTACTTGAAATTTTCATTGTTTTACAAAAATTTTGGGTGTTTTGTCAGACATGGGATTGGCACCCTCTATTTTCTTTTACTTTTCTTTTCATTTTCATCAAGGCTAAGCTCCACCAAATCATAAGCAACTATCATCATATCAAGGCTATTCTGTGCTCATTTTTTCTGAGGAAAAGATCGCTGTACTTGCTAGATTGATATCTTTGTATTATTGACAAATTCTCTTTGGGTTCTCCAAATGTTGATGTCATTTGCAAATTTTCGTTAGGCCTACCTTTGGTTGGTAACTATTTAGTTGAGATTATTGATCCTTAACATATTATTATGAATCTATCGTTTGCAAATTAATCAGACTCAATTTTTAACGTACCTACTCAATTTGCTTAAGTTGTGTTTCCTCATCTTAAGTTATATTTTTTCAATCAATCTACTTTTACATTTTTATTTCTATCTTTGACAAATCTTTGCAAGCAGATGCTATTATTGCTTGACTTTCAGGGCCATCTTTAGCCAGAGTTTTGGTTGGAATGAACATTACTTTGTCGTTTGAAATGGGGGCATGTATTGGCTCAAAGTCTTGTGAATTTTTTGCAAAGAGTGATCTTTGAAGACATAAGCCAATATTTTTTTTTTCTGTGAAATCTTTGGGCAAAATTTATCTAATTATTTCAAGGCTCATTCAGATATAAGGAAATCAAACATTCAGGTGCAATAGGGACATTTAAATGTTTAGATCCTTCATTTTTCCCTCAATAATTGATGCTACTCCATCGTTTGTTCAGATCTACCTTCAGGATTTTAAACCTATTGAATTTAATTGTCTCTAATTCTTCTACGAACAAGTGGAATTTATTTTGCCAATTCTAGAAGTTTCTGCTCGCACTTTTAGCGGTGTAGACATAGTTAACCATGATGCTCTACATTCTGAGAGTTTTATTGGGAGTATTGGGAGCATTAAGAGTGATGATGTTCTGGTGGATTGTAGATTTTGAATCCGATTTACTTGATAGGACCTTAATTAAAAAAAAAAAAATCAAATTTCCTGTTTTCACCTAGCTTTCAGCAAGACAGTTTGAATGAGTTCTTTTTCCCCTTTTGTTTTCCTATATTGTTAGAGGATTCATCTCTTGGCTTTATGCTTTATGTATTTGATATTTTGTACTACGAAAATTCTTTGTAATTGCCTTTGTTGCACTCATTTTTCCATCTAATTATAATATTGTATTAAAAAAAAATCCCTTAGATGATGGCCGGCCCGGATGCTCGACTTTACGAGGCGAGAACTAAAAGTCGGACGGTATTAATTCCATTCTTTTTAATGATCACATTAACATAAAATCTCTCAAGTAACTGAAGAGCCACTATAACAAAGATATTCCATAAAATATATTCATTTCACTTTTCAAAGCTACTAATTACAACAATTATAGTTTACTTGTTCTCATTATTACGTCGTCGTCTATAGACAAATTCTTCTCTTCCGACATTTCTAATCTCTGAGGACTTACCTGAAACATAATTGAATGGAATGAGTTTACAAAGTAAACTCAGTAGGTAACTGTTAAAATAATTAAAATGCATAAAATACAATACATACAATCTTTGATATATGTCCATTCATTTAACATTGAAATACATTTCCTTTCTTTAGTTCATTTCATTACATTCATTCATTTATACATGTTATATCATATTCCATTCATTCCTTTATACATCATATATTATATTCATTTATAGGTGATGCAAGACTACAATACTTAGATGATATTGATTTAGGATTTTGCAAACTTAAATTTTAGAGAATAATAATAATGAAATACTTAAAGCGATGAAACAAGCTTAGGCCAAATCACATGCGTAGAAGTTAAGATCTTAAAACAGTCAATTACTCTTACATTGCATGCATGGAAAGTTTTCAATGAAAATTCCTATGCTAACAATAAGACTAGTCACTATGCAAGGATCCCTCACTCGACTTTCTGTATTACTAGGTTTTAGCAGAGGAAAATTAACACGATCTTTGTGAATCAAACTAAACCATAATCGAGAGCAACTAGGAAGATATGAAACTTGGAGAAGAGTTCATCGTCGTCAAGTCCTTAGGTTTGATTTGAGATTTGAGGAGGAAGATCTAGAGTCTGGCGGCTAATCTCGAAGGAGTCTTGCGTGTGGACAGCCGTGTGGGGGTTTCTGGTCAGCAGATAGGAGTCTTCTGGATGGCGAAACAACACTAGAAACCTGCTGGGATCTCTGGATAGTAGCTGTGAACCTTCAGGACAGCAAGCAGGAGGTTTCTGGAGAGCAAGACGGCAGCTCGTCTTGCTGAAATTTCCTGGACAACAGATATAAACATTCAGGACAACAAATATGAGGTTTCTGGAGAGCAGGATAGCAGCTTGTCTTGCCGAAATTTCCTGGACAACAGCTATGAACATTCAGGACATCAAACAGGAGGTTTATGGAGAATAGGACATCAGCTTGTCTTGCCAAAATTTCCTGGACAACACCCAGGAACTTCAGAAACTGGGAGAAAAACTGTGTGGGAGAGTTTGGGTGGAGGCGGCTAGGACTTAAGAGATTGGGGAAAAGAATTTTGGGAAGTATAGTGGAGTAGTTGATTTAGAGAAGAGAGAGGGAAGGGGCAGGCCTAGGGAGAGAGGGGGGAATTGTGTCGGGGGGGGGGATGGTTTCCACATTCAATGAATGAGGATCTTGGCATTAATTGTAATTGTGACTTAAATTTGCGATTTAATCTCAGATTTAAGGTGATTGGGTTTTGATGTAGGCAGGGGGGGGTCAAATCAAGTTGGATCCTTTTTTGTCCTTGGGCTACTTGCTGTTTCTCGGTTTGGGGCCTTGGCTGCTCTCGGGTGGGCTTTGGCTGCTTGGTTTTGAGCTGAAATTTTGACACTTCTTGGTTCTAGCTCATAAATATTTGAGCTGATGTTTTAGTTCATTAATTAGAAGAGAAATTGCACTTCCTAGCTCATAAATTCATAAAGGTATTCTTCTATATAGCTCATTATTGTGGAGTGGACTTGTGTCTCTTTCCCTTCTTTTTACCCCTTCAGTTTCTTCTCCTCTGGTGCTATTTACGAAATGTAGTTCATTCCCCTTGCTGTGCCGTTTGCTCTCTGTTACCTGGCTGCCCGTTGGGATTTCCTGTTTGCTGGTTTTGTTTCCTGTTGCCCGTTGGGTCTTCTCTGTTTGCCTGTTCTATTCCTGGCTAATGTCTCGTGAATGTTAACTGGTTCCTGGGAGATTTTTTAGGATGCTTTATGGCTGACCCTTAACCTTTCATTTCCCCAAACCTGATTGGTTTGGTTAGAGGTGGAATAGTTGTTTGACTTCTTTCTTTTGCTTATAAATTAGAGATGTTTTGGAATAAAAAAGGGTGGTTATTATGTGATTTTTGGACAGCATAACCTGAGGGTTTTTCTTGGAAGAGCTTGAGAGCTTGTTTCACTTCTTCCTCTCCTTCTT